AAAAATACGTTAAATATTGAAAGAAAATAGTTATACTTGTCAATATATGTACGATTTATTCCTATGTTAGTTTCAAACAGTTTTATCAATATTTCAGCAAATATTAAATATCAATTTTGAAGCTAAAAGGTATTAATTTTTTAGCACAAGCAAGCAGCAAGATTTACTGCTTCCCTTCGCGTACAAAGGGTAAATAGCATAGTCAAGTGGGGTTTAGCTGGTCGAAGGCGTATGACACATGTCGACCTGACTCCCCGATTCTTCACTATTTTTACGATTTTCCATAAAACGAGTTCGTGTAGCACATCGTTCAATTCACCCGAACAAACGCTATCATATTATAAAAAAAAGAATATAGCGTACAGACTAAAAAAAAACCTTGACCTTAAAATCTCCACCAGTATTTCACCTGCGAATAAGTATTTATACTACATTATGGGGGATGGGGGAGGGAGAGCGAAAAGAGTAGATTGGAGATGGAAAATTAAAACGGTGGAAGAAGTCAAGAAATTTAATTACTTGGGAGTAAGATTTCAGAGGAACGGTAACATGGCTGGACGCATAAAGGAAAGGATAAAGAAGGCAGACGTGACATTGAACCAGGTATGGGGAATAGGAGAGAGGAAGTTTAAGACGGACTTTAGGATGAGAATGTACCTATTCGACATGCTGGTACTTGGTGTACTGATGTATGGGTTAGAACTGTGGGGTTTTAAGGGGAGAGCCGAAATAGAAAAGATACAAGTAGGATACATAAAATGGACGCTTGGCTTAGACATCCGCACACCAGGCTACTTGGTGCTGGAGGAATCAAAGAGAGAGAAATTAAGAGTAAAAGCAGGAATTAGAGTTTGGAAATTTGAGGAGGGAGTAAGGAAGGACGTAGGGAGGAAAATAGTCAAAGAATGTCTGAAGGGAAAGGAAGCAAATAAAGAACAAACTAGAACCGGAAAAGAGAGAGAGGAGTACTTAAAAAGGAACGGATTAAATCAAGCGGGGGTGGACGAGTTGAGAAAAGAAGAAAGAGAAGTAACGGAGAGGATAAGGAGAAGAGACAAAGGAGTGCAACAACAGAGGTAATACACAAAAATAGAGCAATCCAAATACAACATTAGGTACAAATACATCAGAACTATAGGACTACCAGAACACTTGAGCAAAGAAGGAAGAGGCCAGAAGTTAATAGCCCAAGCGAGATG